TTTTTTTTTTTTTCCTACCTGAGACATCCTGGGAGGCAGGAAGAGGAAATTTCTTGCAAATCAAATTTCGGAAAAGTTCTTTGAAGAAACTTGCTAAAAGGTTTTAAGTGAGTTTCCTTGAGGTCTAGACAGTAGAAAGTGTAATTTGCTCTGAATAGGAGACATAAGTGAATTTCCTTATCTAAAGACTAGATAGTAGAATCCTGAAAGACTAGCCAGAAGACTTTTGTGAATTCCTTTGAAGTGCAGCAGGTAGAAAACCTGACTAGTTCTAAAATAGGAACCTGGGTGAATTTCTGCATCTAAAGGCCAGACAGTAGGAAGTTTGAGTAATTCTTTAGAATCTGAATAGAAGACTAGGTGAGATAGTAGAATGATATGATTTGGGTTTTCCTTCATCTAGCGGTGACATCCAGCGGTGAGAGAGATTTTGCAGAAACAGCCCTTTTGCTTTTATTGATCAGCCAGTTGTCAAGGCACTTTTGACTTCAGAGGAATTTCTCACCCTGGTGCAGTGCTTGCTTCTCAGGGCCAGGCAGCGCCTTATGTGGCTGAGGCAATCCAATTGTAAGCTGAAAGTTGCTCAGAATATTTTGATATTATGATTATACAAAAAATGGAGGTCATAACATAAGTTAGCCGTGCAAAGTCTGATTTTTCAGAGCTTTTCCCGATCTACCTGGAATCTGTCAGACGATAGACGTTGCATAGCTTGTGTCAGTAAGTGAATATTCTTAAAATTGACATAATTCCTGTTAATATTCCTCTGCAGGCTCGGAAGGGTTCTTGAAAGGCCCTTTGTCTGAAGACACAGAAGCATCAGACAGTGTTGATGGAGGTCATGAGTCTGTCGTTTTGGATCCAGAGAGACTTGAACCTCGATTGGATGAGGAGGACACGTATGTTGTGTTATACCTAGAAAATTTTAGTTGTGTGTGTGTGTGTGTGTGTGATTTGAATGCTATAGTGATGCAGAACCTGGTTATATCATGCTATAATTGAGCCTTATGTCTTGATCTTTCATGTGGGATGGTTAATGTGTTAAAGTATTGCAGAATTCCTGGTAAGCCCTATGTTCAAAATCATTCATGTTAGATTTATTATTTTTTTAAGATGCTAGATTACACATTGAAAAAAGTTATAAAACAGTGAATGATGTGATCTTTTGGAGGAACTAACAATTTTTTTGTGTGTTGCATTGTCTTACTTTTCAAAATTGTAAATATTGTTATGGTTAGAATCCATCAGTACTGGGGCTTACTACCCTAACATGGATGTTCATTATCCAAATTGTTTTTCTCAGAGACTTCGAGGAAGAAGATGACGATTCAGATTGGGTGTCAGAACTGAAACAGCGAACTAGCTGCCATGAAGTGGCTGACGGATAATGCCCACAGAACTGTCCCCTATTCCCACTGCATAGATGTTTAAAATGAAGAATTAATATTTGGATAATAATCAGCCCAAGGAATGTGTCTTTTCCTTTGGGAACAGAATGAAAGAGGGAGAATCTTTGAATATTTAACATTGTACCTCATTAATATCATGAGGTTTAAAACTCTGTGGAGTTCCTGTGAGTTTTTGACCTCAAATGTAGGTATGGGTTAGTGGGTATGAGCTTTGGGTTTTTCAGTCAGATAGATCAAAACCTGGGTGCTACCACCTACAGTTGTGTGATAATTGGAAATTGCTTAATCTCTTTGAGCCCAAGCCTTCAACTGTAAAATGAGGACAGCGATGCCTACCTCACAGGGGTGCTAGTCATAAACCATTACAGCAGCCCATGACTCTGTCATTGTGTTATGATTTGTATTGATTACTGTGTGGCTCTTTTAACATTTCCTAAATGTTTGAAGATCTAAATATATTTAATTACAACATAATGATTTGTTTGTGTTCAGTTTTTTTAAAAAAAGACCCATTTCTGAATAATGATCAGTGATCTTCACTAGCTACCAGCTGTTCTTAAATACAGTCCCTCACAGGATGCATAAAAGAACCCAGCATTAAAGATCAACTGTGGGGAGGGTATTGATCTTGTCAGAAACTGGCAGTTATGTATGAAAAGAGAATAAGCCCCAGAGTCAGTGTATGTATGAAGTGTCAGAAATTAGAATGTTGTGGAGCTAATGGTAATAGAGGGTGAGAATATTTTATTTATTTATTTTAAGATTTATTTATGCATACAGAGCTGGGGTACAGGCCAGAAACAGAGGGAGGAGCATAACAGGCAGATCGATGATGAAGTACACTGCTGAGGGGAGCAGCTGGTGAGACAGGAGTGGTCTGCTTCACCATGTGGGTCCCTCCTCCCCAAGTGGGAGATGGAACTCCTCTGTACTTTACCACAAAGGAGTGCCTGTCTGATGTTTTCTCATGATGAGACTGCACTTGAGGTCTTTGAAGAAGGATGCCACAGAGAAGTCACAATCTGGTCAGGGTGTTTGCAGTTGCATCATGATTTATTACTGCTGTTGTTAGCCTGCCAGGTTCTCCACTGCCAGGTTCTGATAACCCAACCCCTTGCTCTGTGCATTCTAAGTATCAGCGAATTCAACCCAATTCCTGGTGGGGATTTAGTTCAATGGCAAGTAGCCTGTTGCTTCACTTGTTCTAGCTTTGGTCCCTAGGAGTTGCTTTGGGTTGGCTACTTTGTCCCACTGACATTCTTTTGTCTGTTGGGAACCTCCTTATTTTCTGGTTCAGGCTCACCGTGTGCCTTTTCTTTCTTTTTTAACGCTTAAGAACATTTTTGTGGTTGTATTATATTATGAGACATTGAAACATGTGAACACATCAGTAGCCTCCCTCATGGGAGTTAGGTGTTAAATCTCAGCACTATTACCACTACAGCCTGAGTCCGATTTCCAGCTAGGGAGCTAACCCAGATGGCTCAGCAGACCTTTGCTCCCCTCAACAGTGTATTCCAGTCAATCTACCTGTTCTGCTCCCCACTCTGTCTCTGGTGAATCCTCTCACCTCCCTCACCCCATTCATCCCTCTACATTTCTGGCCTATACCTCAGTTCTATGCACCTCCCAAAAAAAGAAAAATCTGGTCCATGAGGCAGCTGCTTTTTTCTTTATTCTTGGTTTACTAGATTTACTAGATTGCCAGTAGATTTCAAAGACCAAGAACCTTTTACAATACTCTGTCTTTCCAAGGCACACAATGCTGAGTCCTAAGGCAAGGTAGGGATAATTAGACAGCTTCAGGGGTTGTCAGAAGAGTTAAGGGAGGCTCTAAAGATAAGGGCAACAAATTCCAAAGGGGACTAGTCAAACATCCCCCAGGATGAGGGGAAACAGGACCTTTCAGAACAAGGACAATAAAGAAAAAGGACACTAATGTAATGGCTGAGACACAGAGACTGAGTTCTGGGCACAGAAACGTTAAGAGAGTGCGTGAGACTACTGAGTACTAACCACTCACAGAGAGACTGGTGGGGTTTTAGAATAACTAGGGACAGGCCCTCACCGGTGGCACAGTGGGTTAAAGCACAGCACTAAGAAGCTAACACCACTTGCCACTTCTGCATGAGTCCAACCTGGCCTGTCCTGGAGGTGACCACATGGCTCGGCAGACATCTCCTGACCCGCCCGCTGCTCCCCTCAGCAGTGTACTTCGTTAGTCGGCCTGTTCTGCTCCCCTTACTTTCTCTGGTGAATCCTCTCACTGCCTCTGCACCTCTGGCTTGTACCCCAGTTCTGCATGCATAAATAAATAAATCTTAAAAAAAAAAAAATAACTAGGGACAGACATCTAAATTCCCTGAGGCACGACTCTGCTTGCCTCCCTTGCCCCTCTCTGGCCTGGTTCCACGAGCCTGGAAGTCCCAATTTATTTCTATTCCTTTTCTCAATAAACAATGGAAAGGTCTCATATGTTTTGTCTTAATGTGGCAGATGGCAGAACCTATTTAGAGCAGGCAGGTTTGGGGATTCAGGGGTGTCCCTGCCCTGTAATACCTGTTGTCTTTAGGCTTATAGTTTCCGATCAAAACTCAATTTCAAAACTGCTTAAGTCAGCTCCCGTTTTCCCCTACAATGCTCTTGAAAACTTTTCAATAGTTAAAATAAGCAGGGGAGTTTTAAGAATATTTCCAGATTCTAAGTTTCTATAAATATTCTCTACCTCTTTAGTCATCTTAAATCTTAGCATCGGACCAGTGTGTATACATTTCCAAACCATCAAAAAAGGGAACTTGAAATTATATGTATTTATTGAAAGACTGAATGAGTCTTGACTGGATGATAAATCTCTTTAAAAGTCATGGTTTTAGAGTTTTAAATAAAATTTCAAAGTGTTGGGGGGGTGGGACAGGGAAGGATGCCTTGGAAAAAGTTCACAAATAGGTTTTATGGACCCCACTCCAACCCCAGACCAATGATATCCAACACCAAGGACTACAAATTTCATAATGTCATCACCTCCAAAGGGAGGATTACTGGGAATTGAGGGTGGAATTAAGCAGTCAAACTTGGTATATAACCAGACAGGTGGGCTTTGGGGATTCTTGGTTTTTCACATGCTACTGGAGTCAAAGCTCAGGGAACTTATAGAATGCATTCACCAATTTCTCTCTCTCCCCAAGTTATTCTTTTCTTCATCCCCCTTTATGTAAATAACCCTTTATTAACCTTTTTGTGTGGGCCTGCAGTTGGGTCTCACTATAAGTTCCTTTTAAGTATGTGGGTGAGGACAACAGTCAGATCCCCATTTCACATTGGGGGTGCCCTCTAACAAAAAGACTGGTGGATGACTAGAAACCAGTCTTAGTGATAGATTACTGTATGATTCTGGACATACAAATAGAAAAGAACTGAGAAACAACAGAACTTCCAATTTGTGTGTACATGAATGAAGTTTGTCAGCATTTACTGCTCTGAATAAAAAGAAGGAAAAGGAGAAAAGTTGATGTTTTTCTGTTCTTGAAAAAAGCTAACATTCTATGGATAACTAACAGAACTTTGACAAGGGGATGAGATGAGAAACTCCATTATCTTCAAGAGGTGAATTTCCAATACAATTTTACATTTTATATTTAATGAGTATTTATCAATGTTAATGATATATTTGATTTTGATCAATGCTAGCCTAGTAGTTATAGCTTAACAAAAAAATACAAGCCTATAATCAGAATATATATTTCCATTTGTATGACCAATAAAACTTTGAAGAGTGAAAAACAGGTGTTCAAGGAAAGGAATGATGTTAACTTACTGATTCCAAAGAGTTCACTTTTTATTTTTTTAAGTAGATGTTAGGGGACTTCAAGTAGATGATGTGGTATTTAGATTTCATTGGCTATGTTTTACTTATGCTATTATTTATAATTGCTGAAGATTACATCCTTTCAACTAATTATATTCTTTTTTTTTAAGATTTATTTATTTATTCATATAGAGCTGGGGTACAGGTCAGAGATGCTGAGGGTGAGATGATTCACCAGAGACAGAGAGGGGAGCAGAACAGG